AAATGTCACGGCTCTCTTTGTGCTTTTCGTAACACTATATTCAAAAGGGATGATTAGAATTTAATGGGTTATTTTTATCATGTGATGAATTGAATGTTGGGTGGTGCTATTTGGTTGTTGTTTGTTTCGGTTGTCAGGGTTGTTATTTACGGCACAAATAGACAAAGATCGGTAGCAACGATAGTTTCTTCAATTGGTAATTACATAATGCAAATATGAAATGTTTTGTGAACATTTTCAAATAAACATAATGTAATTAAAATCATGTATCCATTTATTTGGCAAGTCTGGACAGAAATGAAATTTAATTTGACGGGTTGCCAAAACAGAGACGAACGAGCAATGCTATATTAAGATTTTAATTTTGATTTCAAATATATTAATTGAATTTAACAACCATTGACTGTAAATACAAAACTAGTAAATGAAAAAAAAGTGGTTTAATGGACATCAGCGCAAAGAGCGCTATATTGCGCCAAAGTTCCCTTGGTTTTTAAAGAATGCTCCCCCACCCTCCCTCCACAGGCAAGGTATAACGCCTAGCCTAACAGAGGTCCCATGTACACTAAGACTTGGCAGTTGCAATTCAATTACTGTCCCGGTATTTGCCCCACTGCACACTACGTGATGTATGCCGGTCTTCAGTATCCCGGTTGGTGCTGTGAGTCTTTTTCGTATGTTTGAAAAATTTCGCTAAGTACACTCTATCATTTAGCCTCGATCTAACTGACGTATTTTCTTCAGATTGCCCCCTATTTGATTTAATCAATTAGTGAAATCCTATTTAAATCCGAGCTGTAGCCGAGCCATCCGTGGGTCTACAGAGTTGATTTTGGGCTTGTTGTTTAAATAAAGATCTAATTTATAATTTCTATAACATCTGAAGCCTAAATTAAGACTTGCAATAATCAGATTTAGCTCTTGCATAATGTATGTTTAATTCGTTTAAACGAAATATTACGAAATATTATTTCGTTTAAATGAAATACCACTTCGTTAAAACGAAATACTAATTCGTTAAAACGAAATATTAATTCGTTTAAACGAAATATTAATTCGTTTAAACGAAATATTAATTCGTTTAAACGAAATATTAATTCGTTAAAACGAAATAATTAATTCGTTTAAAAGAATCATTATAGCGAATTAATTAATTCATTTAAACGCATTAGTTATTTCGTTTAAACGAATTAATATTTCTTTATACCGAAATAATTAATTCGCTATAATGAAATATTAATTCGTATTAACGAAATATTAATTCATATTAACGAAATATGAATTCGTTTAAAAGAAATATTACTTCGTTAATTTGTTATAACGAAATAATTAATTTGTTATAACGAAATAATTAATTCGTCATAATGATATAATTAATTCGTTGTAATGAAATAATTAATCCTTGATAAGAATCGTTATAGCGAATTCATTAATTCATTTAAACGCATTAGTTATTTCGTTTAAACGAATTAATATTTCTTTATACCGAAATAATTAATTCGCTTTAATGAAATATTAATTCGTATTAACGAAATATTAATTCGTATTAACGAAATATTAATTCGTATTAACGAAATATTAATTCGTATTAACGAAATATTAATTCGTATTAACGAAATACTAATTCGTATTAACGAAATATTAACTCATATTAACGAAATATGAATTCGTTTAAAAGAAATATTAATTCGTTAATTTGTTATAATTAATTTGTTATAACGAAATAATTAATTCGTTATAATGATATAATTAATTCGTTATATTGAAATAATTAATTCTTGATAACGAAATAATTAATTCGTTATAACTATAACAATATAATTAATTCGTTATAATGAAATAATTAGGTATTATTTAGGTATTGCATAATGCCTGTTTACGAAAACAAATTCAAAATAGGCCGATTTAGCTATTTCACAATTCCTCTATAATATTATAATTTGGTTTCTCTATAGACTGGAATACCTATACAAAGAAACAAATGAAAAAAATAATTGATTGAATAGTTATTGTAGAGAATCTTTGGCATTCGTATGTATTGCTTTCTATTTCAATTTTATTTGATTAGGTAACATTTATAAAAAGAAACCTACTTGAAATATCGGCCGTTGGTCTGGTGGAGGATACAAAGCAGAACATAGTAATTAGAAAAATTAAAACATTAAATGCTTTAAATAAACGCACTTGCTGCTTTGTTTTGTGAACGATAATTTTTCAGGTATCATTTTATTTCGGTGCTCAGTGGTTTTTTTTGTTTTGTTTTTTTCTTTTTCGGATGTCATGAATATTTATTTCGTCAATTTTTCATGTGTTTGTGTTGGGTGTTGGGGGGGGGGGGGGGCGGGAGGTATGTCGTAAGGCTGAAAATTAGGTTGGCAAAGGGTGTGATAAATATAAGGCTATATTGGACCTGGAATAGTAGGAAAACGGGTTTCTAAAATTCGTTTCGTAGTCAATGTGCATTTGTGGTATGTCCCCAGTTGTTCACATTATTTCCCTTGATCGACCGATCCAGCTGGCAACCTGTTCGTTGGCAACCTATTCAGAATAAATTCAACAGTCGCCCAAACTCATCTATTTTTATCAACCAATCAAATCCAACGTTACGTCTATCAAATGAAAGTAGAATATCTTATTATTTATCCATTCCTTTAGCTCAGAATAGAGATGTATTTTCGCATTATCTTACAAAATTCTGGACATCCAACTAAATATATTCCGAAAGGTAAATAAATAAGCTTTCCAAATATTATTAGTAACAGTTGGCACAGTCATATTAAAGCGATGCACCCTCATCCTAAACATGGCCAATTTTGAAAAAAAAATTAAACGGAAAGACTGTTAAAGGAGCTAAATCGCTAACATTGGGGACCTAGAAATTCACAAAAGTGGGTCGCAACGCATATAATACTGTAATATGAATGTATATAAACTGATTTACATTTAATGGTTTCCGTTTTTACTCCAATTTCAAATCAGTTAAGTTCGGCGAAATAAGTCAGCAATCTCAATCGAGTGCAAATTATTCTAGTCTACATAACTCCATTTGATTTGGTGCAATGTGTCTAGCCTCGTCCCTCGAGTCTCTCAATACAACTGGGGCTGAAGCGCATTATGGTACACGATTCGTGTACCAATGTTAAAAAAATTATTTTATCTTAAATATCGGATATCAGAAGCTGATCTTTCCCGGTAAGTTTACATCATCAATGTTGATTTAAATTGACCAATAATTCGTGTTTTCGATCTCGAAGATTTTGGATTATTTTGTTTTACGGACTTAGGTCCTTTAATGTTAATATCCCGTGTCAAAATTCGGACCATCGTACAAAATTCTGATAATCCAACTAAACATATTCTAAAAGGTAATTGAATAAGCTTTCCAAATATTATTAGTAAAAGTTGGCACAATCATATTCAAGGGGTGCGCTCTCATCCTAAACGTCGACAATGTTTCAATATTTTAAAGTGAAAGAACGGTAATATCCCGAGTCAAAATTCGGATCATCGTACAAAATTCTGAGCATCGGGCTATATATATTCTGAAAGGTAATTGGATAAGCATCCAAATATTATTAGTAAAACTTGGCACAATGATATTAAAGGGGCGCGCTTTCAACCAGAACATAGCCAATTTTTCAATATTCTAAATGTAAAAATAGACCTGTATTTTTTTCAAAGTCCATATTCGGATCATCGTACAAAATTCTGAACATCCAGCTATATATATTCTGAAAGGTAATTGATTAAGCTTTCGAAATATTATTAGTAAAAGTTGGCACAATTATAATAAAGGGGCGCGCTCTCAACCTGAACATAGGTCATTTTTCAATATTTTAATGTGAAAGAACGGTAATATTCCGAGTAAAAATTCGGACCATCGTACAAAATTCTGAGCATCCAGCTATATATATTCTGAATGGTAATTGAATCAGCTTTCCAAATATTATTAGTAAAAGTTGGCACAATCATATTAAAGGAGTGCGTTCTCAACCTGAACATACCCAATTTTTCAATATTCTAAATGTAAAGATAGGCCGGTATTTTTTTCGAAGTCGAAATTCGGATCATCGTACAAAATTCTGAGCATCCAGCTATATATATTCTGAAAGGTAATTGAATAAGCTTTACAAATATTATTAGTAAAAGTTGGCACAATGATATTAAAGGGGAGCGCTCTCAACCTGAACATAGCCAATTTCCGTTCTTTTACTTTAAAATATTGAAAAATTGGTGACTTTTAGGATGAGAGCGCACCCCTTTAATATGATTGTGCCAACTTTTACTAATAATATTTAGAAATTTTTATTCAATTACCTTTCAGAATATATATAGCTGGATGCTCAGAATTTTGTACGATGATCCGAATTTTGACTCGGAATATTACCGTTCTTTCACTTTAAAATATTGAAAAATGGGCTATGTTCAGGTTGAGAGCGCACCCCTTTAATATGATTGTGCCAACTTTTACTAATAATAATTGGAAAGCTTATTCAATTACCTTTTAGAATATATTTAGTTGGATCCTCAGAATTTAGTAGGATGGTCCGAATTTTGACACGTGATATTAACGGTCTTTCCCTAAAAAAATTTTTTCAAAATTGGCCATGTTTAGGATGAGAGTGCACCCCTTTAATATGACTGTGTCTACTTTTAATAATAATATTTGGAAAGCTTATTTAATTATCTTTCGGAATATATTTAGTTGGATGTCAAGAATTTTGTAAGATAATGCGAAATTACATCTCTATTCTGAGCTAAAGGAATGGATAAATAATAATGTACCGGTAGATGTATTCTACTTTCATTCTGAATAGGTTGCCAACAACAGGTTGCCAGCTGGATCGGTCGAATAGGTCGCTAGCCGAATAGGTCGCCAAATTGTGTTGGGTAAAACTGACAGCTGTCAATTACTCTTCTCTAATGGTTAGTATGTTAGTAGAATATATTTATAGGCTTGCGGTATACGCCCACACTTCTTAAATAAGCGATTCCTGAAACATTACTATTAGTTTACTTATGTGGAAGCAGTCGTTAAACACCAAGAACTACTACTATATTACTATTTTATTAGCTGACTGTGGAACGTGGTAATCTTTTCCAGTTTCAGTTGAATAAATTCATAAACTGAAGAATGTCTTATCCGGGTAACGTAAAACTATTATAATATATATAATATTTATTTAACCGTGCTAATTTATTTTATAATATAGCTTTTTGTTGTGGCATGTCTTTACCATTGACGCCGAATGACGTGTGATATCTTAAATATTGGTAAAACCTGTAAAAATTAAAAGTCAAAAAATACAGTGCAATAAGTTTTTTTCGACGCTTTTTAAAAGTCATTTTGAATAAAACTATGGAATAAGTTTTTAGCGTGGTTTTTTTCGAAGCTTTCTTTAATTCATAACAGTTTATTCTTGTTGATAGGCAACTTTTTTTTAAAAGAATAATGCGTTGTTTTAGGGCCTGCGTAATGGAAAGTATTGTAAAAATATTGTTATCTTTACAAATTATTTTTTCTAAATTCATTATCAAAAATATAATAAGTAATGCAGGTTATTTTGATACTTAAAATTTAAATTATTAACGGAGGTATATTTTAGTAAATATGCTGGTGATTTACATTTTTTATGGTCATATTTGTTGACCAAATTAGGTAACAATCCCTGCAGATATCCAGGGTATTGTGCATATCTATTCCATATTTGGAATTCAGCTGTTATCAGTATATGACGTAAGCAATAAGGGAGACGTGGGTATGACGGAGGATTTGAGTCAAAAGTCAGTGCTATGTTGTTAGTGCTTTTACATCCCAATGCTGGGTGTAACGTGTAAATTGCACAAAAAAAATTTAAAAAAACTTGCAATACAGACAATTTTTTTTTCTTTTTTTTTTTTTTTTTTGGTTCTGTGCAAAAAGAATTAGCTCTATCATATCACGACATCGTGCAAACGCATAAAACAGTTTGAAAGATTAGAGCTTCTGCAGTTTTTTCCACTCCAGATCACAAAAACGAATTGACTTCTGCAAAATAAACTGTTACTATTATTTTTATAACTTAACATTACATTTTGTTTAATTGTTTTACTTTTATTTCAATAGGCCTATTAATTGATGTATTAATTTTGTTACATTTGCATTAATTATATGTTTTAACTACAATACAATTATTATTTCATATGGCGCTTCTGTTTATAATGAACTATATAATTTAATCAAAACAATGTATACATTTTTTTACATTTGTTATTTAATTTTAATAAACTATTTGTTTTACTTGTGACATTTTTCCGTGTGTCCCGATTTTACATGTACTATTTCTAACCTGCCATTATTATTTATGCTATTTTCCCCTTTATTAAATATTCCTATGCAGTTATTACTTAAATACACTAACAGCAGACATTTATTTAAGGATCAAATTATTTCCCCATAACTTAAAAAATCTTCAATTTTTTCCAAAATATGCCATTTTTCCATAATTTGTTAAATTTAATTTTTGTGGCAGAGAAACTATATAATTTGAATTCTGAAATAACCATAAAATGTAAAAAAAAAATGTCACTATAATGTGGAAAAAATAAAACCATATGATGACAAAGAAAATATAAGTTGCCACCCCTTGTTTATTTTTATTGTAGTTTTGAGTTTGGATTTTAAAAATATTTGGAAATCCACCAGCTGTATTCGTCCAGAATTTTCTGCTATTTACTTAAAATTTTATGAATACCAAAATGTCCTTTGATAATAAAAAAAAGTACATTATGTCTATTGACATATAGGGTCCATGATAAAATAATAAAAGTATGAGCAGTATTTACACTACCAATTTGTCTTTGCAATGGCGCATTACAATATTCAAATTTAAATACTGTTCAAATATAAAATTTTGTGTGTTTTGTTTTTAATCCTAATATGTGATGTTATAGCCTTTTTCTACATACATACATCTAAACCTATATTCTTCTTTTTTTTTTAACTTCTAGGATCTTCACATAAATATCCCATTTTCTTTTTCTACATACATACATCTAAACCTATATTCTACTTTCTTTTTTACCTTTTAAGATCTTTATATAAATATCTTTTTTTTTACTATTCAGTATTTTAGAGAAAAAAAGATGAGAACAGTCATAGTCTGTAATTCTTGAGCCTATGTATATATAAAAAGATTTACATTAAATACCCAGTTGTATTTTTTCTAGTAATTTTAGAAAATTTCAAAGATATGGAGCCGTGTCGGCCATATTAGTTCCAGGGAAGTTTGAACGTAAATATCCGGATGTTCACTGTGTTATCGCATCAATCAATCGTGTCCAACTATTTTAAAACCTACACAAATATTTAATTTTTAAATTTTCTCTCCCAAATATTGTTTTTGTAATAAAAATAATGATAAAGATCCATGGACCGACTTTAATCTCCAGGCTCCTCTTTCCACGAGAATGTTACAAAACAAGTTAATTTGACATATCACCGATCTCGACCGCGGTGTCTATACGATAATATTTTTAAAACAATAGACCTAAAAGTCAACATAAGTTAATGGTCAACAGAAAATGTTTTGTTAATTATTTAAGAAAAGTATGGAAATGTGACATTTAATGGTCGTCAGCGTCCGTAATGTTCTAAAACAGATAAATAAATAAATAAATAAAATATAACATTTTCTTCACTTTTCAGTTCCATATTTTTAAAATTTTAAAGCAACGATGCGTCATTTGTAATTTTTGTTAAAATATCAAATTTCTCACCAAATATTTTTGTCCTGACTTGGACTCAATCGGATTTAAAAGTGACCTACCAATCAATTTTGGCGGACAAGAAAATAGCAGCGGGCTTATTACTGTCGCGGGGGGTTGGATGGCCGAATACGCACGTGCGCGCTGTATCATAAAGTCTGTCATTGAGTCAACTGGCGTGGTTTCGATTCCCCGGTTGTACGTGACAAGGAGTAGGGTCGCCTGTCCAACCTCGTGGGTTTTCTCCGGGCCCTACGGTTTCCTCCCACTGCTAAAGACCCCTACGCGCAAGCGAATTATGGAAATAAAATTGAACCATAATTAGTTTGTGTCAAGTGGACGTTAAACCCCATCTCTCTCTCTCTCTCTCTCTCTCTCTCTCTCTCTATTACTGTCGCGAAGCAGCATAGATCGATGACATTTTAATTCGTCATATCTAATTGAACCATTTTTGGACTGATATTCTTATATTAAAGATTGAACTTTCACAACAGAGGCGCTAAAATGGCACATTGTGGCTAATACAAATACATGTATGTACAACACTTTCCGTAGGTTATGTTAAAAGTCTTTTCATTCCAAAAACATCAAAAAATAAAAATACAACATTTTCTGTGGATTATTAATTTCTATTTACTTTTGCATCCCATAATTTTCTCAAAGAAATTATCAAATATATAAATAAAATACAACATTTTCTGTGGGCTGTTGATTTCTCTACCCTCGCAGTTCCATAAATTTCTAAAAATGATTAACAAATAAATAAATACCACTAAATAGAAATACACCATTTTACGTGGGATAATTATTTTTTTTTTCTTCACTTTTGATTCCCTGAATTTCTAAAATAAAATAATTAACTACTAAATAAAAGTACCGGCACATTATAATTCTGCAGGCTATATTACTCTTTATATAAATTAGTTGCATAATTTTCTAAAACAATTTGGCAAGTCGGTCCTGGATCTTTGGGAGAAAATTTTTTTAAAAAATTAAATATTTGTGCAGGTTTTAAAATAGTTGGACACGATTGATTGATACGATAGCACAGTGATAGTAGCGTAATGGGGGGTTACGATAAGACGGGTCTGGGGAAACACTAAACCCACAAAGATGACTTCTACCAAGCCAGAGAAGCGTATGTCCGCATAAATACTGTCTCTACAGATCCAACTACCAAACAATATGTTTTGTTTTTTTTATTAAATAAAGGGAAGAACTTCCCACTAAACCACTCCATGGCCTTGGGCCGTAAATGAAAAGATTGCAAAATCATATTCTAATATAATAATAATAATAATGTACATTTATATAGCGCTTAATCCATCCATGAGCATGCTCTAAGCGCTGTAAGTTAATAGCTCCTGTTATGTGGATAATACATCGTGAACATGTGCGTCTTAAGTCTAGATCGAAATTGAGCAAGAAGAAGCTTCGGCGACATCACTTTATTGGAAGCAGACGTTAAAGGAGCTAAATTGCTAATATTCGAGACCTATAAATTAACCCAAATGGGCTGCAACGCATATAATAATGTAACATTCAATCGTTTCTGTTTTTACTCTAATTTCTAATCAGTTATGTTCGACGACATACGCCAGAATGGCAATCTCTAGCGTCTGGTTATTCCAGTCTACACCGATGGTATTTATTGTGCATGCTCCCCAGATAAGAATATGTCGTCACCGTTTGACATGACTTGTGGAATATGTCTAGCCTCCTTCTTCAAGTCCATTGTTACAAATGGCACTGAAAACCTTTATGGTACACGATTCGTGTACCAATGATAAAATGTTAATTTTATCTTAAACATGCATTATGCAAGAGCAAAATCTGCTTATTACAAGTCTTTCTTTAGGCCTGAAATGTTATCTAAATTATCAATTAGACATTAATTAACTTATCCAGACCATAATAAACTCTCGATGTCAAGGCTAGCCTTCGATGTTGGCTGGATTAGATTCCTATATGCCGCTAACGGCCGTTGATAATTAAATCAAGAAAAGCGGATAATCGAGACTTGCTGTTTATATTAATGATTTTAGTAATGATGACCGAGACTATGCCAAAATTTCACGAGCTTCTTTCTCGGCTCATGGTGGATCAATTTGACTGAAATTTTCAGCAAATTACCTTTACACTATCTAGTTTTTAACTATTATAGCGAGAACTGCCATCTCTTTATCTTATCTCCCATAATGTATCTTTAAATATTAGATATCAGAAGCCCATCTTTTCCTGGTAAGATCATAACATCAATGTTGATTTAAATTGATAAATAATTCGTGTTTTCAATGTCGAAGAATTTGGCTGATATTGAGTTAGAGACTTAGCTACTTTAAAGGACCAAGGTTTTACTACTACTGCTACTACTACTACATAGAACTCACCATTAGAGGCC